ATCCTTTACATTGTTGAAAGTCTATTTGGGGGAGGGGAAACACATGGAAAATGTTTTTAAGAATAGTGAGAATGTTATTGCTATAGTCACTCTGCTTTAGAACCATGATCCACCCCTTGTAGGGCTTCTGTGGCTCAGAAAGGTATGAGCCTTTCCTTCTTGGATCAGGTCCTAAATCTACAGGCATTGAACAGTGGCTGACAGTACATTGTTTCCCTTCAGGACTCTGATTGGAGTCCTCTAAATGAGCAATTTCTCAAGTCATAGACAAAGCCAGACCTTCAGTAAATGAAGGCAGGTTGCTTAAGGTAGGTGTAGCAGTGAAAGAATGCTAGGTATGCAGGGCTTTAATCAGCAAAGCAGGAGGGACGTAGGTTTTCTCCTTAAAGGTTGCCTGACTCTTTTGTCTGCTGGTCTATCTAACATAGACATGTGAATATGCAGATACTTGCTGGGTTTTTGGTTGTAGTCGCTTTGGTCTAAGGGCATAGGCAGGCAAGGTTCTTTGAGTAGATGCGATATCTTTTATTAGACCAACTGAGTAGACGGGGAAAAGTTTTTGGCAAGCTGTTGGGTGCAGTCACCCTTCTTCAGGCATAGGGAATGCCTAAAGAAGGGTGACTGCGCTCAAAAGATTGCCAAGATTTTTTCACCCAACTACTCAGTTGGTCTAATAAAAGATATCACATCTACTCAGAGAACCTTGCCTGTCTGTGCAGATACTTGACTGATATTGTATGGCTACTCTCGATTATTTAATCCCAACCTTTTCTTATGCTAAATTGCTCCTGAGGAATTAAATACTTCCCTCCTACCGCTAGCCTTGAATCCACAGGAAAGGAATGACTGTACAGGGTGGAAAATGCAGAGAGGCTTTCTGCCATTTTAGCCACTGGTGTTCCATTTTGGAGGAGGAGAAATTGCTCATTAGAAATACTGCATGACAACACTCCATGTATCCACAATGCAACCAGATGCTTGTCCCATGTACTTCTACCAGCTATATTTATATCACTTCTTTGTAGTCTTTTAACCTTCTCCTCATTTGTGTTTTAAGCAGCCAAGTAGTTCAGTGTTTTCTGTTAAGCATTATTTTTTTAGACAACAATCAAGCATTTTATCCTTTTCGTAATACCATTTTCTGGTGTGCCCCTTTGAAAGACTTAGCAAAGGAGATGTCCTAGTGGTCAGATATGCAAGTATATTGATTTAAAAACTGCTTGGAGTTATTTTAAGAAAAAAATGCTTACACAAATTGCTGGAAACGACATCAAGGATGTCAGAAAGGGCTTAGGCAACTCACTGTGTTACATGGAGATGGAGAAGCTGCCAAAACAAATATCTTTGGGAGCACCCAGTTGTACCTGATTCAGCTGTGTGAGCTGCAGGAAACAGGCACCAGCCCAGCAATCCTTAAAGCCATATTGTGGTGGAATGAAAGTGACCTCCCTACCTCTATAAAAAGTCTGTTAGACTGAGATATGGCTCTCAGTGTTTCTCATGAGAGAGGGAAAAAGAGAGAATGAATGCCTACAGATTCCATGGAGGGACATAGAGTCATTTGTCCCATTAGCAAGCTCAGTCTTGGCCTAATTCAGATCCATTTGGGTCCATTTCTAAGCCCTTCTGAAAATCCCAACCCCAAAGTGGTTGTAGTCTAGTTGCAATTTACTAACAAACAAAATTCTGCTCTCCTGCACAGGATACATGTTAATTGTGGAGAGGAGAAAGCAGCATAAGGACCTGTAGGATTATTTTTAAAGAAAAAGCACAAGAATTGAAGGCCACAGAAATCCTTATGGGATAAAAGGAAGGGAATTTCAAGTGCTTTAATGCCTCTCTCCCCATTTCCCATAATTCCCTAAGCCAGAGGTGTCAAAGATACAAACCCTGGGTTGTATCTGGCCTGCAGATTCTATTCATCTGAACCTGCTTACTACCAGAGTACAGTAGTATCACTGAAGTCTGAGATTTCCAGGTAAATAGCTCCTTCTCAAAGCTTTTCTCTCTAGATTAGGCAGTTATATAATATTCCATAATTTGGGAATCTACTATAATTTTCTGTTTTTACACAGTAGATCTTGGCATTGTTTATATATCAGACGTACAGCAGTAACAGGCAGTAATGGTTCAATGCTAAATCCTGAAGGGAAAAAAATGAAAATTTCTGCCTGGTCAGAAAAAGTTGTATTTCATGGTTATTTGCTGGAGATCATAATTCATGGTTAACATGACTGATGAGATTGTAAGTGTTGTGTTTGCATGTGGCAACTGCATCCCACCGGCACCTTTGTGCACTGTTGCAGATGATGCAGATCTCAAACATGACCTTGGTATTTTTTGTCTAGTTGGCTTAAAGGAACTTGTTTGGACAAGACTGGAATGCATTGCCTAGTGCTCCACAGAGGGTGTCTCAGCACATATGTGCAACACTTCCAGGACAGTTTGCGACAAAGGCCGATTAACCAGTTATTTTTCCCGTGGCTACCACTTCTAACGCAACACCATCTGAAGCCAGATTTTTTCCCCAGAGAGCTCATCTCACAAATGAGACGTGAAAAAGGTGGAACTGCTTACCTTGTCGATTCTAGTGAAGAGTTGCCACCAGGGTCTCACAATGGGAGCTATTTGATGCCTAGCTCTTTTGAAAGCCTAGTCCTTATCTAAGTGCCTATATGGGTCTGAATTCTTTGGAAAAATCTGGCTGCTACAGATATCATCTTTTCTTTCTCTGTGGAAACGTGTGGCTAATGTCTTCCAAAATGACTAGCAATTCTGGATGGTCATATCAACACACCCAAGAGAGATTGGAAAGAACTGAGCAACACTCCCCCCATCCCTGAAATATCTGACCTCTTCAGAATGGCTGCTTACTCTTGGGAGTTACCCTTAAGGCCACGCTACTTGTTCATGAGCTAAGGTATAATCATCATAACCTGTGAGTATAATCAGCTTGATTTATTGAAGAGGCACCCTGCCTGATGAATGGGTGTGGAACAGGTTCATGAAGTGCAGGAATACCCTTCTGCTATTCTGTTTTCAGGCAGTGATGACTGTGTTGATTATACCACATAAGTTTTTTTTTTTTATGTGTTGTCCTCAGTGTTCAAAGCAAAGGAAGAAAAATGCTTAATCTTTGGTTGGAAATTTTGGCAAGCCCATTCCAAATGGTTTGTTTTGTTGTATAGATACTGTACAGGGAGAAAAGGCAGTTGCTTCTCAGCTGTTTAAGAGTCAGGTAAAATAAAGTTTGAAGTACCTGGTGCTTGTAGGAAGAGGGTGATGCCATTTTCTGATTCCACAAACTGATAGGTATCCTTACAGCACATGCCTTCCAGACTACTAATTTTGCCTAATTTCTACATGGCCAAAATGTAAACTACTTACCCCCATGGGGAAATACTTCATGTGAGGGCTTAATAGAGGTCTGTTTTTAGTCTAAGCATGTAAGGGTATAGCACCATTTTGTCTCAGATTTTCTGGAATGAGTGCAGAAAAGCCAGCTGGAGAAATGGCCTTTCCTGTAGTGAGATGGGAGTTCTATAAAGTGAAATGCCACAATATAAATTGTAAGGTGTGTCACTGCATTCCAAGCAGGTGTAGGCTGACAGGTGCTCTGTCCAATTTCACACTTGCTACTAGGATACAAAAGGCAAGGCAAGGCAAGGCAAATACAGACTTCCACAGTGGTGTGTTTCAGCTAAAATGAAAGAGGCCTCAGGGTTGTAGGGAGACAAATAGAAGCACTGATTCCATTCACATGGCACAGCATTGCTAAAGTGACTGGGAACATGGATCCCACAATTACATCAAGCAACATGCTGGACCGCTTTAAAAAAGGAACCAATTAACCTACTGAAAGCCATATTCACCTCCAGATCTTTTGTTCAGAGCAAAAGTCATAGTGAAAGGGAGCTTGAATGTTGAACCATAAACCTAGAAGACCAGAGTTAAGGTAAATGCTGCAATTCTTTCAAAGTTTATTTTTGAATGGAGGGGTCTCTTTCAATCTAAGTCTGCAATGTTGCATGAAAAAAATACCACTCAGGAAGTACCATGTATGCAAGGTGAAAGACTGTCTTCTTTACTAGATTGGACAAGGGTATGAAGGAAAAACAAGTCTTCCAAGTAGGAAGGTATTATAAAAATGAGGGTAATCAGTTATAATCACTCACACACACACACACACACACACACACACACACACAACAAAAAAAAACAAAACACTCACTTAACATCTATCAACTAATGGATGGGTATTTGTTAAGACAGTAAACTAGCTGAACTGGCCACACAGAAAAGTTGTGGAATTTCCTTTGCTGAAGGAACAGGTTAGACAGACAGTTATGTACAGTACAGGTACATGGGGTCCAGCCTTGGGGCAATTTAGGTAAGCTTTGAGATCCTTTTCAGATCTATATCCCAGCAATTGCTGCTGTCATGCCTGTTAGACTCACAAGTCTTCTGGGGTCTTATCAGAAGAGGTGAACACAGGAAGCAGGTTTAGGATTATAAAGCAGACCAAGAGTGAGCAAACACATTTGAGCACAATCAGTGCTCTTTCAAGCTACAGCTGATGGACAGAGTCTCCTTTAGACATCTGCTTTATCTGTTCTACTTGCTAATGTGTCACTACCCAGACTCATTTCGAGATGCAAGGTGGCTGTATAGTTTGGCATAATGACTTGAGACTGAAGGTTTAGATCACTAAATTTGCAACCTTTTCTAGCTGGAAAAATGCAAGTGGAGTAAATGGGAATGTGTGTTTTGAGATACCATTTTTCCAACCCTTAGGGTTTTAGGTTTAAGGACTCATGCATATATATATGCGCATGAGTCCTTAAACCTAAAACCCTAAGGGTTGGAAAAATGGTATTAAATGCTAATCAAGCAGGTAGGTCTTTTTTTTTTTAATGTAAAAAGTTTAATTATAAAATAAATAGAATTCCTTAGTTTTACAATATATTAAATATTAAATACAGTAATAAATATTTACAGTGCAGTGCAAAAATGTCTGTACAATTGTACATAATTAAATTTGCATTTTACATATTTGCTCAGCATTTCCTATTAAACATTTAAAATAAGTTAGAGGCATGCATAGTTTCAAGAGAACCTGTCAAAGTCAAGTAATGCTTCTGCATGGAAATTTCTCAGAGCCATAAAGATACTAAAGGTCAAAGAATTTTAAAAAGGGCAGGTTTAGAAAACAAAAATTAGAGATTTTGCACATAAAAGGAAAAGCACAGTATGCACCTTTATGTCAGATGCCATTGCTGACTGAACGTGAGTATATGAATCAAGTTCTCCTCCTACAGAAAGTGGGATCTGTTACAGAAATAAGAGAAAAAACCCTCATCTTTAAAACTTGAAGGTAAATCTTTTTTGTTTAAAGGTTTAGCTGAAAGTACTAGCATCTAGAAAGTCCAGACTTTCCTCCTTGGCAAAGAGATGAGAGGTTTTCTATAGCTCTAGGAAGAAAGTGGATGTTCTCCAACAAGAACTAAAGAACACCCAAAAGTTTAGTATTTTTTCTACTTCTAGAGTACCAGCACTTTCCTTAAAGCTGAAAGCAGGGCAGGGTAGTATCTTAAAGATGAACTCATTCAGACTAACACGGCTAACCACAGTTCTTTAAATTGATTATCCCAAAGACAGAGACCGATTTGCTCTCCTTGACTTAGTCATGAAGCTGATAAACCTTGGATTTCTCTTTTCAGGACTGCTTTAGTTTTAGATTGAGATGATCTAGTTCAGACTCAGCCCTGCAAACAGATAGGCACAACACTATTTATTTCCCCACAGTGGAGCTTAGTTGCTTTTAAAGTGCTTAAAGGATTTGGACCCAAGTGCTCTTATTGAGAAAATATTCAGCAAAACATTTGGAATAGACGAGCAAAGAAACAGAAATCAGATTCCAACAGACATGTCATGGGTGAAAGGGACCACATTGTTATAGTCAGTGGTCTGTGGCAAAAAAAAAAAAATTTAACTGAAGCTCGACTTGCCTTCTCTTTTGTATAACTGTGGGGTAAGGGGGAATGCAAGGGAAAGGAAGCCTTCTCGCCTTAGACTCATAGAAGTTGTGATCTTCTTTAGAGCACTTTTCCACAGCAGGACTTACTGAAGAGATTTTCAGCAATAAATAGCAGGAGAAAAGGAGAGTAGTCTGGGTAACAGCAAAAAGATATTAGTCTTGTATCACTGACTGGATACAACCTAGTGACAGCAGCTCCCAGGCACTTTTGACAGTGGAGCATTTAACTTTCTAAGTGCAGCATCCTCCGTATTGGGTGGCCAGGGTAGAATGGCAATAACCCACCCCAGCTAGCCTCTCAGCAGCAAATAGCTTTTCAATGCCCCCCTACAGCATCCTTCATGTTGATCAAGAGGGGCCTGATGGTAGTGGCTCAAGCAGGCTTGAATACTGGCCATCTGATGTACACCTGCAGGAAGGTGGCACTTCGCAGCCATGCCAACAGCCACTTCAGATTCATGTTCTGTAAAAGGACAGGAACCACATTTTAAAAAGGCATTAGAGTTATGATTACAGCCAACTGCATTATAGTTATATAACAGTGCTCTTATTGCTTTCCAAGCATTTGGGGACCTTTTATAAGTTTGCATATAAAGTAACTGTCCAAGAAACTTTGAGGAACATTGACTTCTGCCCCCTTCACTCCCAACTGAAGTCAGCATTTAACAGGTCCAAAGTAGAAGCTCCCAGTTGGTAGTCAGAGTCAAACTAGACTTAACAGAATTCATAAAAGCTAGAAGGACTGATCCCCTATGCATTTGGGCTTGGAATCAGTCTTTTCAATGTCACCATTGTATCAATACTAGTTAGGAGTGAGCTACATATGCCAGGAATCACTGGCTCAGTAGCTAGGTATCATATATTAGTGAAGGAGAGCAGGCTCTGGATCTTAAGACAGATGGCTTACTACATTAGAAGGAAATTCATTTTTAAAAGACATTTAGGTGGCCCCATAAAACTGGATGGTTCAAAATTGAGAAATCAAGTCACTAGGTAACAGCAAGATGGGCTTGACAAGGTTTTGCCATACTACAACATGCAAGGAAGTTTTATAAAACTCATTTTTATGAGAATGTCTGGCACCTAGTGAATACATGCTGGGAGGTCAGCCCTCTAACAGGTGACAGAGTTGGCACCACTGTTCAGTACAGCTAAACACGCTTCCACAGGAAGTGCTTTCTTCAACTAGTTAGATGCTACTTAATCTCCCTAAAAATCAAAGGCTTAGTAGAAAAGTGAACAACAGAAGAGTTCTTCATAGCCTCTGATTCCTTCCAAACATACTGCTTCTTCTCTTGCAATTCAGTGCTAGTTTTTGGCTTCAGAGCAGCAGGAATTTCTGTACTTAAAAGAATCTAGAGGGATCAGCATGCTACAAGGTCATTCACTTGTGGACAGTCTTTCAAAGTCTTTCCATCTCTGCAAGGGATGCGAGAGGCAGGGAAAGTTATACAGTTATCCACAACGACCTCTATAGGCTGTTCTAGACTGATTCACTTTCTTGCTCACTGTAAGTTTCTGTTTTACACAAGTCAGCATGTAAGTGTTTTGTGAAGGGTGCCAGCTTCTCTCACTGAACCAATGCCTACAATGAATGTTCCGTACCAGCTTTTTCCTTTATACACCAACATGGCCATTTCTGTTCTCTTTTCTAAGCTTTTTCCTTTCCTCCTTTTCTTCATATTGAGGACACTTCTTCTTGACCCTGTGGAACAACAACAACAACTTATGGCACATTCTACATTTGTCTGTTGGTATCAGTTCTTGCTTGTTGCACTCTTATGATTCCACTCCTCTCCCACCTCCCCAGAGTATATGCTCTGCCCTACACATTCAGGCTGGGGTTCAAAGAGTCTGCATCTTAAATGAAAAATGAGGTCTTTCGTCTAGGCACTCTCCACCTCCATACAGACACCACAATCCCAACACAAGTCCAGGTATAAATCCATCAAGTCTACTTCAAAGAGATACCTGGAATGTTACTCCATGGAGCCAACTGCTTCACAAGAAGCAATTAAACATCACTGGTCTCATTTAGAAGTTCTGTTATCAACTCAAGCCAGTGGTAGCTTAAAGAACAGAAGTTGGGGATCTAGACTCTGAACCTCCTGAGCCACAATTTTATGTGGCTTCCATATTATTTACACTATCCAATGTTCAAAAGACCCTATGGTTGATGCAATATATGGCATTAGTATTTTTCAAAGCACTTTGACACCAAGTGTTGTTACTTGATCACTGACTTGTCACAGGGGAGCTAAGGATGAAGTCTGTTTCCAGTCTAACAGAGCTACGAACACGTATAATTTTCACCTATATCAAGATTATGCATAAGTTTAAACTTCTAGAAAACCCCAAAGCCTGAAAACTATGCTAACAGTCCTTTTATTCCCCTATACACACACTTTATATTATTCAGAATTGTAATCACCTTGGTAATGCTTTGGAAAATATGAATTGCTCTTTGTACTCATGCAATATGTGAAAAGTACATCATCACCATGTTGCATGCAACAATACTTTAAACCAAGCATGTCAACAGCATACCTTAAACTGAAAATGTAAATGTTAGGCAATAATAGACAAAAATGGACACACCTTTTTTCCTGAAATGCAAGAGGTACAGCATGTACCCAATTCAGTTATTATACAGCATAGTTTGCCAAGAACTAAAATTAGACTAAATCTCTGAATTTAGTCTACATCATCTCAAGCTGCAGTACTGTTACTGGTTCTGAACCCAGAACCTCTTAGCAGCTTTAATCTTCAGAAGATAAGTAAAATACATATTTTTAAATAAAATGTGGTCTCTGTTCCCCAGTATTACATACCAGTTCACTACAAGCCACAGGGTTTTAGGGGAGACATAAGCTGGCTTTGTTGGTGTTGGTGCCAAGATCTGTTTTCTCACAATTTATTTCTAGTGGTTACCCACATTTGTGGTGTTCCAGGCATTACAACTGGTTGCCTTTTGTCATCCTAGAACAGCGTTTCTACACCTGTACTGATAAGGCCAAAGACTTTGGATGACTAGTTGTATCCCTCTGTTTAAGTGGCCACTACTTATGCTATTGATTCAAAGCCAGAAGTGCGTTGAGAGAAAGTTAAAGCAATTTTCCTTCAGGACATCTGTGTCCATAAGATGCAATTTTGCAGCCATTAATAAAGTCAAGCTTTGCCCATAAGAATTATACTAAAGGACTACAGAGATGTCAGCTGAACTAGTTAAAATGTTAATATGTCACCTCACATACAATTTGGGCTCTAGCTGGGACAAGGATTTGTTAGAGATTAGATAGAAGTGTCATGGTCTGCCCACTCTACCACAAAATCTCCACTGCCTTTTTCCAAGTTAGATTCATCCACAAACATGGGGTTGATCTTTCTACTTGTAACGAGCACCAAGTTGGACTGTTAGCACCTTAAAGCATCCCTTCTCTTCCCCTCGATTGGACTGGAGTTATACATTATAGCCATGCAAGAGATTCACATACATCAGCCAATAAAGTCATTGAAACCCTAGGCCTTTTGTGGGGGCTGGTATCATACTGTGCAGGCTACGATTAAAATCAGACAGACACTGGGAAAGAGTGATACTTACTGCGTTATTAGATATATGACAACAGCAATGAAGCTGATGCTTGAAAGTACAACAGCTACCACCACCAATATAGTTTTTGAGTAGTCGCTGGTGTTCTTTCTTGTCTGACTCTTCATTGACTGCTCCCCACAGCGTTCACCAAAGTAATCTTGATTACACCTGGGGGAGGGAAGGGGGAAAAGATGCATACATTAAGATCAGTATTCAAATGCCAAATAAAGCACCCAAAACCTGTGAGAAGGAAAAACATACCCATTAAAAACAAACCAACCAACCAACCAACCCACCCTTGACATTTTAGTGACATACTGCCTCTTCTGGAACTAATGCCCAGGCTGGCAACTGCTTTATCCCAAAATTTGGGAGAATTAGAATAAGTTGAGACCAGTTTAGGTGTGATGTTCCAAGAAGCCATGCTCCCCCCACTTTAAAAAAAAAAAAAAATGTGACCAATAAATCAGTTCAGCAGCTTAAAATGATGGTGAGATTTATATTTACATGGCTGAAATTCCCTCAGCTGAAACAGTGTAATAAGCTGAACCAGAATAGGATGGTGTCGATCTTTCTCTCGAAGCGTTCAAATTCACATTGCCTTTAGAAACTTTGAGCATAACTTACTTGCATGTTACAGTTTGAAGGTCCTCTAGGTATATGCATTCACCATGGATGCAAAAGTTTTTGTATTCCATTTCACATGGAGTCCCTTTCTTCTTTTTGTTCTTTTTCTTTTTATTTCTTCTCCTTTTTGGCTTACCAGAAACCTTCTTTTCACTCTCCTTTGTTTGCTTAGGTTTAACCACAGGTTCAACTAAAGGAGCAAAAAAAACGTAAATAAGGTTAGACAGAGAACAAACTTCAGCCCATCACTGGCAACAGCTCCCATCTTCAGTGTGATATTAGAAGATTCAGAGCTTACCATAGCAGAAGGGAGTAGAAAGAGAGTCTTGAAAAAAGAAAGGGAAGTACATGTATGCAAATGAATGTCTAGTTATGGCTTTCTGGAGAGCCTATTTCACTTAGTCCCAAAAGTGCAGCCCTATAGAAAAACAATGGCAGGGTTTAAGCAATAGCACATCATTTCACAAGGGTAGTAAGTTTAAGTTGCTATAAACACTTATCACACTCGGAAGAGACAATGCACTTGCTCTATCAGCTTAGATAATCACATTGGCCCAAATCTTCCTCTTGCCTTCACATGAATTCAGTTATTAGGCTACCATAATTCAGCCTACTTGAAACAAAGTGAATCATCCATTGCCTTCAACCCTTCCATATTCACATTAGGTCACCAAGTTGGTTTAGGTCACTCTAGAGGCAGAATCTGACCCAGTACCTGATGATCTCATCCCACAAGGTTATTTGCATTTTATCAACATATATCCCAGACATATCCTTGAGCAGTAGCACAGTTTGCATACAGCTACTCTTACTTGGCACCTCACAACTGATAAGAACTGTAGAACTGATGTTCTACAGAGGTTTTGCTCCTTGCTTAGGTTCTGAGGAAAGCCTAGTTACCTTAGCAAAACAGTCAGCTATAACTTAGTAGTTATTCAGCAGTACTCACTAGTTGCCTCAAGTATAGAGAGCATGCATGTTCTGGCATAATATGGAACAAATTCATGGAAAAAAAAAAAAACCTCTAAAGCTATGAAGTTACCTTTAGTCATCAAAACTAGACAATCTACTCACCCATGAGCTTGACAAGTGGTTTTAGAGTCGACTACATCCTTGACAAACCCATTTGATTAGTGTTGTAAGGCAACTGACAGCCAATTCTAATAGAGGCTAGATCAGTGGTCACCAACCAGTTGATCTTGATTGACTGGTCAATCACAGAGCCTCTAACAGTTGATCTCAGTCTAGAGGCTCTATGACTGGGAGCTGCAGGACATGTGGCTGGGCTGAGCCATGTCCCCTGCCATCAGAGCTGGGCTGGGCTGGGCGAGTGGGGTCAGAGCCCGGGCAGCTTGTCTGGGGGTGAAGGGGTACAGTATATCCTGGGGTGCCAAAAAGTGATCTTCACCATAAGAAAGTTGGAGACCGCTGGGCTAGATCAATGCCCCTCAGGCAGAGACTAGAGTTGTCTATTTGGAAGATTTTCACCAGCAAGCCCTATACCTTATCTTGAGATCTTAAGCCACATTGGTCACATATTAATTACTAAATAAATCAATCATCTTTTGCTAGGAGAAGTCAGACTGAAATTGTACAACTTGTGTTTGTAGGTGAGCTGAATGTAGCATCTACACTTAGGTTTCCTTTCTCTAAAAGAAAGCTCTGAACTTAGTCACTGTATAGCTGACACCCCCTTTCCAGTTAACTTTAGTCAAAGTAGGCCAATTATCTTGATCAAATATAGAGCCAACTTTCATGCCTTAGTTTAGGGAGCTGCCCGTTAGACAACTCCTCCTTGGCTTTAAGGAGGAACTACAATTTTTGTGGGCTATTTTTTTTTCCCCAACGTAAGTATCTAAGCTCCAAGTCCTTCTAAAGCTGTCCAAGGCTCTGAAGATGCATTGTTAAGGAAAACCTATGCCAGATAGCCATACACTCAAGCTTGCTATACTGTCTCTGGAATAACTAGGAAGTAGTATGTGGTCCACTCAAAG